TAATGGCTGTTCACTCGCCTTATCCATCAGGACCCTCCTCCAATGGCACCTCCTCTGGGAAACCCACCACTTGCTCACCCCCGCCACCATCCCAGCCCTCCATAAGCTCCTCCAGCAGTAGGAGATCACTGCTATGTCCCAGCACCCAGAGCACACAGTTGGGGAGTGATTACAGAATTACTACATGATCCCATTTCGCGTATGAGTAAATCTGGGCCCCCTGAGGGCCTGAGGTTCCTGGGAGGCACTGAGGAGTTCCGAAGATAAATGAAGAGTCCTGGTGGGGCGGGGGGGAGGGGGACAGGAAGGAGGCGTAGCTTTAGTTTTTATCCTCTTAGAGACCTCTGAGGGCAGGGTCACTTCTGTCTGGCCGCAATCACGCCCAGCACAGTGTCTGGCACACAGCGGATGCTCACAAATGCTTATCCAGAGAGGTTTTACTTGTGCTTGAGATTTTGTCTTTGAAATTGTTTCCACTGTTTTGTTGTTATTAGTTGGCGTAGAGTCGATTCTGACTCATGGGAGTCGATTCTGACTCATGGCGACCCCATGTGTGCAGAGTAGAACTGCTCCATAGGGTTTGGAAGGCTGTGACTTTTGGAAGCAGATCGCTAAACCTGTCTCCTGAGGAACCAAGCCGATGGCTGGGTTAGAGCCAACAACCTTTCGGCTCGTAGCTAAGAGCTTAAACATTTGTGCCACCCGGGGACTCCACAGGAATGTTAAAATGCACCTGAAGGGCTTCAGGAAGGAAATTGGAACCAATAAATTACCTGCTCTGTGTGACTACCGGGAAATGAAGGGTGTCAGAAGAATTAAGGATGGGTTAAGAGAAAGCTAAGCAAATAAAAAGCAAGCCAGGTAGTCATATGAGGAGGAACAAACAAAAAGTTGTACACGAAAGGAAGTATAATCATAATATGTGACTTGGCTTGGCAGGAAATAATATTCTATAGTCATAATATCACAAACATTAAATATTCATGTAATGAAAAATTTTGATAAATGCAGATTGATAGGAGAGAGGGTTGAGTAAAAGTTAAACCTTCCTTGATAATAATAATTATAACAAAAAACATTTTGACCACTTCCTGGATGATAGGCATTATTCTAAGCACTTTGTATGTTGAATCCTCATTATAACCCAATAACCTAAATGCGCTTATTATCCCCATTTTATAAATGAGGAAGCTGAGGCACAAGAAGGTGAAGACACTTGCCTAAGGTCATACAGCCAGTGATGGGAATGGTTGGGATCCAAACCCAGCAGTCAGGCTTCAAAGGTCACACTTGTGAAGACATCAGGCCAAGAAGTCAGTCGATATCTGCCTAAAATTAATCAATCAAGAAATATGAAGGAAAGTACCAGAAGAAATAGCTAACAGTTGAAAGTGGTTGCCTTTGGAGAGCAGTATTGCGAGAAGGAAGGGCAGGGCAAAGGAATACTGCTTTTTATAAGTGCTATTTAATGTATGTAGATATATAGATCCATCCATGGGGCTGGGAGTAGGAATTGCCAGAGAAGGAATACAAAGGAACTTTCTGGGGAGCCGGTGATGTTCTCTGTATCCTGATTGGGGTTTGGAGTGGTGTTGCAAACTCGGCTGCTAACTGAAAAGTTGATGATTCGAGCCCATCCAGCAGCTCTGCGGGAGAAAGACCTGGCAATCAGCTTCTGTAAAGTTTACGGCAAAAAAAAAAAAAACTATGGGAAAGTTCTACTCTGTCACATGCGGCCACTATGAATCAAAATCTACTCGATGATCCAACAACAACAATATGTATTTGTCTAAACTCACAAAACGGTACCTTTAAGATCTGTGCATTTCACTGTATGTAAATTTTATCTCCAAAAAAAAAATCAACAAACATTGGATTCTAGTTAATGATATGCATGCCGAAGCGCTTAAGGGGGATGTGTACTGATGGTTGCGACTTTACTTTGAAAAAAAAAACTCATTGCCGTTGAGTTGATTCTGACTCATAGTGACCCTATAGGACAGAGTAGAACTGCCCCATAGGGTTTCCAAGGAGCAGCTGGTGGATTCAAACTGCCAACCTTTTGGTTAGCAGCTGAACACCACCAGGGCAAAATACCTTGTATTAATGAATGGCTAAGAGGGATGGATATATAGGTAGATCCATGATAGAGCAAATGTAATAAAATATGAACAATTGTGAATCTAGGTAGCAGGTATATGAGTGTTCACTGTACAATTCTCTCAACTTTTCTATATGTTTGAAATTTTTCTTAATAAAATGTTGAGGGCAATATATGAATGTATTATCTGAAAAATAGTATTAAGTTTAAAGAAAAACTCCTGGACAGGCTGTTCTGCCCTGAGCCCAGATGGACTCCAAGCCTTTCCGTGTGCATGTCTATTTAGGGGGCAGATGTCACCACATCCGTGCCTATGTTCCCCCATCTGAGATCCCAAAGCCAGGGACCTCCAGCCTAATTCCTCATCCCTCCTACCCCGTCCCCTGCATTCCTAGGATGTTAGGCAGGATGGGGTCTCCTCCCCCTCGCCCCCTTGAATGCCTCAGTAGCAGAACCACAACTACAGTATCTCACCAGGGACAGGAACAGGGCCCTCTAGCTATATCCCAGCCCCTGTCAAAAGGGTAAACTGAGGCCCAGCAGGTGGGGTGGTGCCTCTCTCGGGGGCCCATCACACCTTCATGACAGAAAGGAGCAGCCAGGTGGCCTGTCTCCCAAGCCCACGTGTATATAATTAGCTGGTGGGAAATGGATCAGGAAGCAGGTCTCATCTAGGCCTAATTAGGGGCTAGGCAGCTGGGGCCGGGCTGGCCTGAGGGACCTGCCACAAGGCAGGGCAGCCCCAGGAGACGGGGCAGCAGCTGCAGGCCCTCTGAGAGGCTGAAAAGCAGCAACTCCTGCTCCCGCTCCAAGAGGTGGAACAATAGAGGGGCTGTTCCGCAGAGCCCCGAGGCTGGCAGGCTGGCAGGTGGGGGAGCCCCACATGGGAGGCTAGCGGGCTCCAGATTCCTGTTCGAAAAGTCAAGGCTCAGCCTGGCGCCTTCCCCACTTCCAAGAATCTTTCCCTGCTCTATTCGCAACAAGGCCCTGGAAATGCCCTTCTTCTACCTCCTGGCCCAGCTCCTGGAACAGCTCTGGTCTTAGGGCCAAAGTCCCTGAATGTCCCTCCTCTACATTATATGACCATTTCTGTGTTTGCTACTGACCACTTACCCTCTCCCACCTCCTCTCCCCCAGGCTAGGGCAGGGACCATGTCTGTCTTGTTCACTGCCGGACACCCAGTAGGTGCTCAATAAAGTGGCCAGAAGGAACGGCATTAGGCTGCCAGGATTAGGGAGAGAGGTGGGCTGTGTCAGGAGAATCAGCGAGCCTAGTGCCACTAGCCGTGGGGTGTCCAGCAGGCCAGGGTGCGACCTCAGGCTGTCCTGCAGACCTGCTGTGTGACAGGACTTCCTGCTCTAAAACAATACTCCTGACCCCCAAAGGGTCACTCTGAGATTCAGTGACAGGATGGTGTGAAAGGCCCAAGCCTGGCATTTATACCTCCTTCAGGAGCAAGGGGTCTCCCCACTACCCACCAGACCTGTGACCTGAACCTCAGTTTCTTCGCATGTAAAATGCACCCACTTCCTTGGTTTGCAGGGTGGTAGAGAAGTTAGCAGGTCACTGCAGGGGGTAAAGCTTAGCACAGAATTCCAGCAGGGCTCTCAGAGGGACTGGTCTTTGCCATCCCAAGGGCCACCACCTCTGCAGAGCCTGCTGGGATCGTCCTCCCTGACTTCATCACTCCTTTAGTGTGGGAACCCAGGAGGCCCAGCCCTGGCTCTGTCAAATGTGCTGGGCACCCAGGGGTAGGTCATTGTCCTCCCTGTGCCTCAGTCTCCCCATCTGTACCATGCAGGGGTAAACTCCATTCTTGTGAGCTCAAGCACCATCATCTTCTAGAACCCAGTTTCCCCCTTCCTTCCCCAAACTGCCCAGGTCCAGCCAAAGCCTCTAGGTACTGGTTGTAGACTGTCAGACAGACAGACAGACAGCTGGGCTGACCTGGATGTCTGTCAACAGTCTGACGGAAATCTCTTCTCTATGCTTAAAATAAAGGCCACATCAAACCTGTCACTAGCGCCCCATTAGAGCTTCCTGTTTGAGCGTAACAGCCAAGGCAGCCTGTGGGAGAGGAAGTGCCACCCAGCCCCTCCCCACTCCCACCTCGGGTAGGGGGAAGGGGGCCTAGGGCCAGAGGCCACCCCAGACTTTCACCCTTTGTATGCCAGACCCAAGGCCTTAGCCCTGGCTTGTCCAGCAGGGAGGGTCTTCTCAGGTGCAACTAAGCTGGTGGGAGACAGGAAGGAGCCGAGACTTCAAAGCCCAACCTAGCCCCTCCTTCCCCTTTCCCCAGGTGCTAGAATACAGGCACGAAGGACCCAAAACACAACAGCATGCCAACACAAAGAGGACTGTGCCATCCAACTCTCCCACTGAGGCCCTGAGAGGGAGACTGGCTTCCCAGGGTCACCCAGAGTTGCCCAGGGTCGCAAGGCCTTTGGTTTTGGGTTTCCACCCCAAGTCACTGTTCCTCCAGCTCTCTTTCAAAGCCCCCTCTATGGCCTGTGTGACCTCAGGTTGAGGGTTTGCCTCTCTGAGCTTCTCATCCCCTCGGGAACTGGGCAGGAGGTGGAGAGGGTAGAACACAGATGGTCAGGGGAGGGTCCATGTACTCCTGTCAACCTTCCCCTGCAGGCCTCCCTCCTGGAGGGAAAGCCTCCTGGGATGAGCTCTATCAAGACTCACTCTGAGGCTGGACCTCAGTTTCCTCCAGTCTTCCAGAAGGCTTCCAGAAGGCTTACGAGGACCCCCTGCAGGGCAATCTCAGGCCGGGCTAGCAGCTGACCTCCTGCCCCAGCAGATCCTGAGCTTAACAATGATTGAGTTTGAAGGTCCACACACCCCCCAACCCCACCCTTTGTGAACACAGAAAAGTCTAAAGACCTAGCTCTTGAGAAACAAGCATTTGTGTTTATTAACCAAGGGGAGGGAAGTCAAAGCAGTGCCGACTCTGAGCCAGTCCCTCCTGTAGTCTACCTACCCAGGCCAAGCTGCCAAAGACCCCAGAGAACAGTAGCTATGCCACTTCTCCCTGCCCCTGCCCCAGGCAAGTTCCCAGGGGACCAGGACCCACTGGGTGAGGAAGAGGAAGTCAGCATATGACAGAGGCCAAGGAAGGAAGGAGGAAACAGAGCCTCTGGGTAGACAGGAGTAGTGAGATCCCATGACCCCTCACTTTTGGTGGGGAGGGTGAAGTGCCCCAAATCCAGCCCCAGGAGAGGAACCAAGCATCAAAAACCCTGCATGTGAGGGGTAGGGGTGGTCCAAGGTCAAGAGGCAACTCTCTCCAAGGTCAGTTCTTGCCAGATGGATGCTGGTCCAGTCTCTGAGCCTTTGCCTCCATGTACCAAGTTCACTGGAGGCAGGTAATGGATCCAGGAGAGGTCAAGGGGCCAATTGCATCTCTAAGATCGATCCTATGAAAATGCTGTCCAGGTCCTGTGGAGGCCTAGCACTCCACTGCTGGGGTCTCCCGTGCCTGCCGCAACCCATACAGCCACTTGATCACACGGGCGTTGCGCTCTACCACCGACACGCCATAGGGGACGCGCTCCCGGGCCCGGTCCTCAGCGGTGGCAGAGCTGCGGCGGGAGCAGCCCCCTTCAGAGCTGCCTGGCCCAGCACTGGGCCCAGCCAGGGACACGATGTCTGAGCTGGCCCGAGCCAGGTGGGCCACACCCAGCCCCCGTGCCTCCTCTGGGTCCAGGCCACAGAAGTTAAAAAAGCGCTCAAGGTCAGCTGCTGCCCTGGAGAAGCGCTCACTCAGGTCCGACTTGGAGCGCTGCAAACCTGGTGGCCTGGCAGGGCTGGAGGCAGCGGCACTGCCTGGTGATGGGCAGGGCTGGGCAGATGAGGCAGGCAGGGGGCGGACATCCACTCGGCGGACGGCAGCTGTGCTGGGTGGTGGCCGTGGAGGGGTGGCTGGAAGGTCCTGACGGGTTCCCTCTGCCCGCCCAGGGGTCCGGCTGGCCTCAGCAGGGGACACAGGACTGTCACACAAGTTGATGAGGCTGCTAAGGATGTCCAGGTCCAGCTGGGGCCGGCGGCCAGGGCCGGGCAGGGCTCGACGGCTAGGAGTGAGCACTGTGCGGCGAGTCCCAGGGCTGAAGAGTGGTTGTTTGGACAGCAGGGGCTGCACAGGCTCCTGGCGGGTGGTGGCCACATGCAGGCTCTTGACATACTTGGCTTTGTCCGCCTCCAGGCGTTCCACAGCACTGGGTTTCCGGGCTCCACCGTCTGCTGGCCGCCGCAGCAGGTAGCCAGGGACCTTGGTCCGCAGGTGGAAAGGTAGGGCCGGGGAAGCCGGGGACCCAGGGTCCAGTGTGTCCACAGGCATGGCTGTTACATACCCCGAGGTCCTCGGTCTAAGGAGTCTGGAGAGATGAGGAGGCAGATCCGGCAGAAAGCTGGCAGCTGGAAGTCGGTGACGGCTGCAGCAAAGGAAAGAAAGAGGCTGAGCACCCTCAGACAAAGGCTCAGCCAAGGCTGAGAGGCTGACGGCTCTTTCTCTATTATAAGGTAAAGGCCACGCCCCTGACTCACAGAGAACCAATCAGCAGGCAGAAAGCAACTACCGAATTGTCTGTGGCCCCGCCTACTTCCTTCCTCTTCACGGAGCAGGCCCAGCTGCGGCAGAGATAGAAAAAGGTGCCAGGAGACAGAAGACATGGGGCAGCCCGAGCAGAAAAGACAGGGTAAGGTTGGTTTAATGGGAGCAAAGCGGGTCCCTGGCCCTGTGCTGGGAGCCAGCCGCCTCCACCTCAGTAGGTCCTCTCAACAGTCCTGTTTTGCTGATGGGAAAACTGAAACCTAGGAAAGAATTGCAACTTGCTTAAAGCCAATTCTGCAATTTGGCAGTTCCGCTCCGGGAGGTCAGCTGGACCAGCCCCTTACCTCCATGCAGGGGGTTGCTGGAGCAGGGGTCTTGGGGTTGGGTGACCAAGAGAAAGGGTTCCAGCCCCACACCCCAGCTGGGCTTCCCACCGGAAGCCTGGTATCACCTCCACCCCTCACTCATCCAGGCAGGAAGCTGCCCAGTGCCAGCCACCTGCCTAGACATGCCAGGCCCCAGGCACCAGAGCAGAGCTCATGGGGAGAGGTATGTAGAAAGTCCCCACTCCCACCCCAGTCAGACCAGCCACCTGTCAGCTTCCAGTATGGGACTCAAATGCTAGGCCCACAGCGATCTACAGACGCCGGCAGGTAGAAACGTCAGCCCTGAGCTATGCTGCTCCAAGAGAATTCTCAAATGCCTATGATCACACAGCCCTGCCAGGTACATCCCACAGATCCCATAAGCACCAGTAGCCACAGGATGGGCATCCAGAAGCAGGAGGGCCCGTGCCTGAGTGCACAAATGTCCACATGGTTACCCAAGCATCAGCACCTCGTGGCACAGGTGTCAGGCCACATCCGCCCTGCCTCCAAGGAAGGCCCGGAGCCACAAAGCCCTGAGTATGGGGCAGAAGAAAACTCATGGACCAAGTCCCCAACCTTCTCCTCTATAAAATGGAGGTGGTGCTTAGTCTAGGAGAGTCCCAAGAGAACTTGCAGTTCAAGCCATCTAGACCTGTGCTTTCCAAGTCAATAGCCACTAGCCACAGGTGGCTGTTTAAATTTAAATTAAATAAAAATTTAAATTCAGTTCCCAGATCACACTAACCACACTTCAAGTGCTCGATAGCCCCATGTGGCCAGTGGTCCCCACAATAGACAGGACAGATTTGAGCATTCTTATCACTGCAGAAAGCTCTAGTGGACAGCTCCACCGAGATATTCAGAATTCCAGGTGGGAGGGAGTCTGGAATGGGGGGGGGCGGTGCAGAGTTCCTACTGTGTGCCAGACATTTGACGCCATCCTCTCTTATAATCCTCCAACAAGCCTGTGAGGTAGATCACTGTCACCTCATTTTACAGATGGAGAAACTGAGGCTCAGAGAAGTGAGTCTCGGAGTTGATATATAAGACACAAACTCCTATGAAGCCTACCCTGGCCACACTGACTTTAATATTGCACCCTGTCTCTCTCCACCACATGTTCAACATCCCTACCCTGCTATTTCTTTTCTCCTTATCACTTACCACCTTCACAAATACCAAATAACTCACTCATCTATCATGTTTAGTATTGTTTTACTCTTTTTCATTCCCAAAAACCCATTCCCATAGCAACCCTACAGGACAGAGCAGAACTGCCCCATAGGGTTTCCAAGGCTGTAAATCTTTACAGAAGCAGACTGCCACATCTTTCTCCCGCGGAACAGCTGGTGGGTTTGAATTGCAGACCTTTGGGTTAGCAGCGGAGCACTTTAACCACTGCACCACCAGGGCTCTTTCATTCCCACCCTCCTAAAATGTCAGCTCCATAAAGGCAGGGGGTTTTGTCTGTTTTGTTCACTGTGTCTCCTTTCAAGACACTGCTCAAAACATAGCACACAGTAGATAGTCAATAAATACTTGAATTGAAATGCCTGCAGGCCCCCCATGTGAACAAGCAAACAAGGAATGAACTGGAGTGGGGCACACTCAGCCTACTGCAGGCAAGTGGGCCCACGAGGGAGCCAGAAATCCAGAACTGTGTGAAAACTCTAGATTCTTAAATGTTAGCAAATTCAATAATAATTTTCAAAACCTTGTCTGTACAAACCAAACAAAACATGCTTGCAAGCATTTTTGCCCCCTCCAATCTGCCCCTCTTCAATTTGCCCCCCGCACAATCTGGCCCACAAGCCCCCAGTTTGAAACCTCTGCAGCAATACCAAAAAAAAAAACAAAAAACAAACAAACCAAACCCATTGCCATGGAGTCATAGCAACCCTATAGACTGAGCAGAACTGCCCCATAGGGTTTCCAAGGAGGGGCTCGTAGATTCGAACTGCCAACCTTTTGGTTAGCAGCTGAGCTCTTAATCGCTGCACCACCAAGGGCTCCTCTGCAGCAATGGAGAGTAGGAAACAGAAGCCTGGGGACTGCTGGCCCAGAGCCAGAGCTGCTTTCCTGGTAGGAGGAATGGAGTAGGTGGAAAGGGAAGGGCTCACCCCCTCAGGGTGCACCCCAGGAGACCTCTGGTGGGAAGGATCAGACAGGAAGGGAGGCCTTGCTAAGCCCCAGTGAGGTGGCCAGACTCTGCCCCACCTCCATGGCTCCCAAACCAGTCCAACCCGTTGGAGGTGGGAGTTCCCTCCCAGGTACCTGGAGGCAGCAGGATGAAGGGGGTGTCAGAGGGGCAGGGCTGGGGCCAGAGTCACCCACCCCCGCCATCCCCACCCCACCCCCAACACACACACAACTGCCGACCCTAGGATCTCCTCCCAAGGCAGGGCCAGATCTGAGGAGCCATGCCCGTCTTTGGGGACCACTAGGCGATCGCCCACTGCCTCCTGTGGGCCCTGTGCAAGCCACTGTACCTCTTACCGACTGGATTTCCTTATCTGTGAAAGACGGATAAAAATAGACCTTCCTGAGCCTCCAGGTCGTTGTGAGGATGGAAAGATAAAGCAGGTGAAGGACTTTCCTCAGCACCTGTCAAAAAGGCTGCGCTCTACGAACAGGGTTCCTTGTTATCATTACTTTGACAACCAAGCTCACAGACCACCCCCTTGTGGGGGTCTCTAAGCACCCTCTAGAAGGGTCTGTCCGAGGCGGAGCCGAACACAAGGCAGGCACATGACAGAGGCTAAATCAGTGCGTTGACCTGAAAAAGAGACATTTCACAGGTGGGCAAACACAGGTGCAGCGGCTCCTGTGAGTTGAACCCAGGGTCCCAGGTGGGACTCAATGTCCCCTCTGAGGCCTCTTCTCACGCCCAATGCCCCAACCCCACCCACTGGGCACGGAATTTCAAACGCTGCCCACAAATGCCCCCAAATGCGGAGGCTCCGGGCACGCAGCCCAGCCCCGCTCCTGCCCCCAAGGGCTCTCCGGGGCCAGACGGCAGGCGTAAGGGGCCGAGCTCCGTTCAGAGTCTGCCCTTTCCCACCTCGAGGCAATCTTGGGGGCCCCCGGCGGCGGAGGGGGCCACGGGCGGGACGGCGTGCTGTGTGTTTCCGACGGCTCGCCGCCCCACTCTGAACCCCGGTTGGCCTGGCTCTGGAATGAGGGGGCTGACGACACGATCCCTGCGGTCCTGTGCGGGCCAGAAGGTGAGACCTCGCCTCGTCCCCGCCTTTCAGGGGAGGAAGGGGTGCCCGAGCCGTCTCCCACCTCAGCCAGGCGCTCCCCGCCCCGGCCTGCACGTACCTGGCTGCGCCCGCGCCGCTATCCTGCGATCCTCCGGCCCGGCCCACCTGGGGCTCAGGTAACCTGAGTTTGCGCAACTTCCGGCGGCTGCGGGCAGGTGAGCCCGGCAGCCTAGGTGTTACTCGAAAAAGGAGAAGAGCCAGGCAGGGGCCGGAACCCGAGCCCAGGCAAGCTAGCAGCTAGCTAGGCGCTAGGAGCAGGGCCTGACCGCCTCCGGCCCACCCCCAAGCTCTTCCGAGAGCCGGGGCCCGCCCACCCCACAGCTGTACTAGGTCTATCTGCACATCTGGCTCGTGGGGACCCCGTGACCTATTCAGGCAGGCGGACCCATCCTAGAGATGGAAAAACTGAACCCCCCCAGAGAGGCACAGTCCCAGTCGCCGCCAGCTAATGTTCACTCTCAAGCACTGGAAGGTGCTTTTTCTGGTATCAATTAACCCATTTTAATCTTCCTAACAACCCCTATGAGGTGAGCTCTATTATTACCCCCATTTAACTAATGGAAAACTGAAGCTGGGACAGGCTGAGTCACTTGCCCAAAGTCACCCTGGGAGTCCAACCTGGGCACCTTTCCTCCAGACCAAGTCTGAATGCCAACCCCTTCTAGCTGTGTGTCACTGGGCAAGTTGCTGGACCTCTCTGGCCCTCCGTTCTGTCACATGAGGAAAGTCCCTCTTTCTCAGCCAGGCCAGTGTGAGCTCTATGGGCCTGAGAGTGCCAGGCAAACCTCCAAGCTTAGTGCAAGCTGTAAACATTGGCAACAACAGCAGTAGTAATAATAACAACAACAACAGTGGCTAGAATATTTGAGTGCCAGGCGCTGTACGTAGTTCCGGGCCCCCCTGCGAGGAAGGTACTATTTACTCCCCATTTTACAGGTAAGGAGACTGCAGCCCTGCAGGAAGGAATCCCTGGGAAGAAGGTGACTCTCCCCTGCCAGCCCAAGCCCTATTATGTCACTTCAGGTGGGCACATGTGATCAGGCTATTTTCCACAGGGGTCCTGAGGCCCAAAGGAGGAGATGCCCACCAGGCCTCAGACTTGAGCCCTGGGGAGGCCAAGGGGGGCCCAGTTACATGTCTGTGCCAGGACGGGGAGGTGGGGGAGAAGTTGGGAAGGCTGGACCAGAACTGGGGTGGGGGTCATAAGGGGCAGGAAGTGACTCAGAAGACAGTTCTCCTCCCCTGGGAGT